TTATTTTTATTTTAAATTCTAAATTTTAATAGTAATAAAGAACTATTTTTTTCACACAAAAAAAAATGCATGTGTATTTAAAATAAATTTGTTGACTTATTTAAAATTAAAATCTTGCCTTGTGTATGCAGTCGCGTTAAATCTTGGGGCCAGCTATCCCACCCTTTGAGGTGCCTCCAACGTAGCAAGGAGATTAGTCATTACTATTGACGGTGAATAATCCAGGGACGAACCAAAAAAAATTTATTGACCTATTTAATATTGTTAATGTAAAGTAGACTTCTAAATAGATTAATATGGAAAACCAAACTTTTAAAATGATTAGGTCAAACCTAGAAAAAAAACCTATAATAAATAATAAGTCAGACTTAAATTTTATTTTTATAAAATACTTTGACTTGTATATTCAAAGTCTAGTCTGACTTGGTATATTCTCATCCCTATGTCACACTATCGATTTATATTATTTGTCAACTTAACATGTTAGTAATTAATATGTTACATCAATAACAATTTATCATGTCAACCATTAACTAATAAATTCAAATTGTTAATTGTTGAATAAAAAAATGTATGAAAATTTGGAAACTTAAATTTATAATTCACAAAATAATGAAATATGTGTGATATAAAGTGCAATTATGAATTTCTTTGAGTTTTTAGTTGTTTACCGAATATCTCTTAGCAAAGGTCAAGTTGGACCTATAGAAAAAGGGTATACAAGATATTTCTTAAAAAATGGGTTTCATAAGTTTATTTCTTCATAAAATTTATAGATAAGGACTTTGGTTCCTAATTTTTTTTTATTATTTTCTCAACTTTTTTTAGAGAGTGAGGATCTATCTTTTATCAAATCCATGGTGATACAAAAATGGGTTTCATAAGTTTATTTCTTCATAAAATTTATAGATAAGGACTTTGGTTCCTAATTTTTTTTTATTATTTTCTCAACTTTTTTTAGAGAGTGAGGATCTATCTTTTATCAAATCCATGGTGATACTCGTCGAGCTTGAGGAAGAAACTAAGTTTAATTCTTATAAAATATATATTTTTTATTAAAATAATTCACGCAGTCGTTCCAAAAACAAATCGATACATATTAAATTTATTTTCTTTTATAATAATTTAAAAATTATAATTTTAATTAATCAATAACATATAAATTAACTAAAATAATCTCTGATTTTAAAATTTTAAAAATAGTTATTATCACTACTTAAAAATAATCTAACATAGATTTATCATATTACCTTCAGAATAATTAGAATATGAAATGTAATTTAACATTATATATATGTTATATCTTAATCAAGTGATAGTACTAATTATATTTTAAATTTTTAAAATATATACAAATCAAAATTAATATTTAAAATAAGAAAAATATTTTTAAAATAAAATATCTGTTAATTGTATATATATTATACTTTATACATCTCATTAAACGCACTATCATTCGACTATATGATACAAAAATTACTTTCTTACGATAATTTGTGTTTAGATAAATGGTTAAGAAAATGAGGTTAATTATATCTTATGTTTTTTTAGATGTAATTTTTTTTTTTATTTTAGACACTAATCTGGTTCACAATATTATGATTGTTATTGACTTGACTAGAAATTGTTACATATGATGAGAATTAAAAAATCGTATTAAGTTTGGTGAATAAAGAGATTTCTTAAAATTGTTTTCATTTTATATCAATATAATAATTCTTTAATCTGAGGGCCTTACTAGTAGTTATACCATTATCATTACTTATAGTATTGAGATATTTATCCTCACTTTAATGAGAGAAAAAATTACCCCACTTTCTCGCGGATACGAGGAAAAACAAGCCATGTGAGATTCATAAACAAGAATTGATGGAGAATGGAAATAAGTGAAGGCATTTAAGCCTTCACATATGTTAATTAAGTGCCGGCATCAAGGTACAACATGCGGGTACGAATGACCTTGCAAAATTTTCAATTTCTTTTGGAACAAAACTTAAATCTTATATTTGAAGTGTTTAAATTATTATTTAAAATTAAAATTTTACTTTGATAACTTATTCAATTAAAAGAATATTAGAGGTTATTATTAACCTATATATAATAAATTCGTTTTAATTAAAAAGTTTGCACTAAAAATATTTAAAATAGTATAGATAAGTTTTTTATTTTTCGTCAATTCCCTTGCCTTACAAGAGATGAGTGATAAATATGCTCAACAAGCGAATCAAACGGCCAACATCATCATCAGACAACACTATGGCTATGTCCACGACTCCAATTACTGTCCATTTGACAATAATGTACATTAGATTAGAGGTCCCATCAATATCATTTCCAAACGTTTCTTTGATTCATCGCTTATCCTTGCAGATGGAGGGGACGGTGACCATATCCAGTAATAATACAAATTAAAGTAGTTTTACATGTTCAAGCAACATAAACCAGACATAATTAGTTCAACAGTTTTCGGCAGATTAATGGAGGCCACGTTTCCATATTTATACTTAAACGAATAAACAAATTCATACATAGTTCTATTTGTAATTATTTTGAACCGTTGAAGCGATGTGTAGTATATCTGTATCAATATTGTTGTTGAAAAATACTTTTATAGTGTGTGTGGATGAGGAATTTATATAGGATAATTTATTTATTCGAGGAATCAAATTATCATATTTAACCTAATAATTTAAAATTTAAAAAATTTGAATTGACTCATCCAAACAAAATATTTTAAGAATGATAGAAATTAAAATTAAAGTAATTCAAATACTAAAAATTTAAAATTTTTTGAATTTGTAAAATTTTTAATCCAAACACACTATTAGGGAAGGAAACTGCGCAATCACGGTATCTAACACAAATATTAAATAAAAGCAGACAGAATAAAGAAGAACATAAAATAGAAGTAGCGTAGTATGACCGTATGGCATCTCCTTTATATACTTACGGTTCTTACTTCTTTTCATATTGGATTAATCATAGTGATAGAATATATGACAATCTCATTGATGTGTGTCCGTGGCTTTCGATTACAGAACTTCCTCAAACTTTAATTACAATAATAATATTAATATTAAATTCTAGAAAGAAAAACAAAAGGACGATTAGAGCTAGGGGCCATGTTGTCCCCGTTAAGGAAAACTAGCCACACACGGTGACATATATTGGGACTTATTTACATTATTACATTGATAATTAAAAACAATTATAATTCACTTACAAGTAAAATCCAACACAGTGTAGATTATTAAATTTTATAGCATTTTTATGCTTCTAAAGAAATTACTCTTCAACTATGAAATATATTCTTAATGTAAAATTTAAATAAATAAAAACTACTAGGATTAATGTTTAGATTACGAATGATACAAAACTTTCACTCTAAAGACATGGATACATATTATAATGCTTAAGATGAAATTCAAACCTAAATGTACATGTTTTCGCTAAATAGACTTGGTATTGTTCTTGGGCAAATGCGGAGCATTGATATATAGGAAAGGGGGGGAAAAAGGTATAAATACAATACACGTAGAAATAGTACGGGCCGCTACATATATACACTATGAACCAAGTTGAAGATTATTTGAAAATTTTATTGTGGAATGGCTTCCCCTTCCTAAACACACACAAAAGGGAATGCTTTTGTTGATTCTACGTTCCAAGTTTCGTTGGTTGGAGCTAACATGAATGTTGTTGAACTGATTCATCCATCTACTATCCTTCGGGTACCTGGTAATAAAATTGGATTTTTTTTACCCATACTTCTTAATAGGTAGAATCAGCAACTAACATAGACGAGTCATAAGTCATAACCACGAGAAAAAAAAAAAAAAAAAAAAAAGTTAACAGGAAAAACAATCATCTAAAATATAAGATATTAGGTATAGTTGATAAATATCACGATTTCACTTCTACATCTTTTAGCAGAGGAAGGCTGTGGAAGATTCTCTCTGATTTTATATCAGATTTTTCCCCTATTAATAATTTATAAATCACTGTTTCGGACTGGGTCAAAGCTACTGAAAACAAATAAGTCACATTCTTCTTTTTTAAAAAATAATGAATATCAATATATAAAAGAAATAATACATTTTTTTTTTAATTTTGTTTTCTGATTTCCGTAAAAAAAATCTTAATTTTTTGGGGAAAAAGGTATTTTATTGGTTTGTTTACGCAATTTGGAAAGGTAAATATGGTTGATATGTTTCCCTTATGCAATTCAACAACCATCACTCTAATCTGGTTGCTTGCACACCACATTATTCCGCAAAAATATAAGATGAACAGTAAGAAAACAACGTTGTCAATAAATAAACATGTTGATGATAACATAGCCTCGTGTCTCTCCTCCATTTCAGTCACAAAATCAAAACCACAAATCACACATACTTTGACCACTCAGAGCCTGCCATCACAAACCCTCTCTCTCTCTCATTCATATAGGTACCCCACTCCGATATTTCCCTGGTGAAACCACAGAAGCAGCCTCTCTTTCTTTTTATAGGAGAAAAAGGCTAGAGAACTATCCTTTTCTTTTTTTCCTTCTCTCTCCTCCTTTTCTGCTACACTTGAAACCCTAATATATACTTGATAACAATCTGTATGTAGTAATAATCCAAATCCCAGAACAAAGAGGCAAGAGCAAAGAAGGCCCTCCAGAGATGAGAGATGAGAGATGAGAGATGAGAAGGTGTGTGTGGAAGTATTAAATGCATGATGATCCGTGGGGTGTTTATTCCCTTGTTTACGTAACACCCTTTTGCACAAACACAGATTAAGTAAAAGTGTGAGGCAGTGTTGTTGCAGAGGCTTTAAGACGTGGGTGGGAGGAGGCACTTTCTGAAGAAAACTAGCTTGTCTTTCCACAAGAAGAAAAATCTTTCTCTTTTTTGTCTCGCTCCCATACCTCATTCTCTTTAATACTATTACTATGTGCAAGTAATCAAAAGCTCACCCCCACTTGTCTCCCTCACGTCTTTCCATTTTCTGCTCTCATGGATTCGGCCAACACCAGCGGCAGTTTGCAATCCTCAAGTGGCGCTGACGAAGAGTACGACTCACGCGCCGAGTCATCGCCACTCTCTGCCTTCTTAAACAACCAACCTCCACCCACCCAACTCGCTCCCTTCAACACCACCAACAACCTCCAAAGCCCACTTATTCCAACGCAACACCACCATATGTTCGACCCTTTATCAAATTACTTGGATCCAATTACGCAAACTTCAACGCCGGTTCTAAACCTTGACATGATGTGGTCCAAAGCCTGTAGATCCGAACCAAACCATACCCAAACCGATCTCGAAGCCTTTGTGACAAGTCAAACACGAGGCAATAGCGGTGCTTTTCCTACCTTGCCTCCAGAAAGTGGTTCCCGAGGAGCAATGCTTTCAGTGTCAGCCGCCAATAATGATCAAGTTCAAACCCACACCAACGTGGTTCGAAACCCGAAGAAACGGTCAAGAGCTTCTAGGCGTGCACCTACCACTGTGCTAACCACAGACACCACCAATTTCCGAGCCATGGTTCAAGAATTCACTGGCATCCCCGCACCGCCCTTCACTTCCTCTCCTTTCCCGAGAACCCGCTTGGATCTCTTTGCTTCACCAACTTTGAGATCCAACGCTTTCGACTCTCCCACACCACCACCACCACCTTATCTTCTTCGCCCCTTCGCACAAAAACTCCAACTTCGAGGTCTTCACCCTTTTCCTCCCTCCTTTTCCAACACCTTAACTAACTCTACAACTAATTCAACTTCCATTAACTACCAACAACAACTATCCGAACATTTTGGGCTTGTGAAACAGCCTGTGGAAGCATATCCTAAGTACCCACTTGTCAACAGAACCCAAGAAGCCTCCTTGGAAATTCCGCCGAATCTAAAAATGGGGGTGTTTGAGGAACTGGGATTGAGACAGAACCATGTTAACACCGACCTGGGGTGTCTTCATCAGAACATGGTCTCGTCAACATCGGTAGGAGTGGGAGCATTGTCAAGTGGAAACAACAATAACTTGAGTAATGCTAATTCTTCAACGGAATGGGCCCAGAGAAGGGGCACCATTACCAACAATGATCGCGATCACGGAGGAGGAGGAGCTCTCAGTGGCACTGTCAACTACACCGACATTGCAGAAAGAGTCACTAATACCAAAGTACACTCTTCATCGGATTTTCATGGAGAGAAGGGGCCAGACTTCACTGTAACTGCCAGAACCCAAGGTATGGTCGAATCCTGGATTAATTGTTCTTCTGATTAAAGGAATATGGGCCACCCAACAGAATAAGAAGCTAGAAGAAAAAGGATTGATGTTTGTGATTTCATAAAGTTTAAAGCACCAACTAATGCTAGTATAATTCTTATGCATCAAAGACAGAATCTTGGTATCCTCATCTTAACTATGACCATCAAATTAATTATTTAAACACTATTTTTCATTTTTCATTTTTCATTTTTCATTTCTCTTTTTTCTTTTCATTGTGTTTCGCTTTGCTTCTCCTTAATTTATGTGTAAATAAGTAGCAGCTGACTCACTCTCTATCTCAAATATTGAGTTGTGCTTTTAATCATCTATACAAAAGGATCCTGCTGGTTTCAAATGTTTGTTTATCACTTTATATATTTTGCGTCTTTACTATGTCAAATGGTGTGAGATTATAATATATGAATCTTGGTTTTGACTTGCTAGAGATTGTGAGAGAAATTGTATAATCTGAACAGAATTATAAATTTAAAAAAAAAAAAAACGGAGTGTGTCCCTAGCTCTCTCTTGTATTTGTGCGCCTTGAATTCATTTGGCATCTAATAATGTACGTTGTGCAAAGATCTCCTATCTTTCTTTTTCAGTCTTTAATTTAACGCCGATTGTAAAGTTGTGGGTTCTTGGAGTAATTGGTGGCGACATTTGGGGAATTCTTAGCCGCCGCATTCTTGTTTTATCGAAATCAAAGACATCTTCATATGTTTCCAACTTTTCAAGATTATGACAATAAGATATAAAAACACATTACACATGGGCATGTATCCATGGGTCCATACATTCCCGTCTTCCACTTATTGTTTTTTAAAACAAAAGAAATACAATAATTGACGCTAACATTTCACGCCTGCGCATTTTAACGACTAAATCATTTTTCTTTTTCTCGATCATTTGTTTTCTTCTTCAGATTTTAGGAATAGTCACATTAGAAGCATATGTTTGTACGTCATCACTCCAACACATAGTTTATATGTAGCCATGATGTGCAATAATAAGATTTCAATAGTGACCTGTTGAGCCAATTATCATGGTACGTATGTATATGAAATCATTATACACTGAAAGTTGGAAAAGGAAAAAGTGTCTAACTTGAATCATGAAATTACCTCTCCACTACTTTTGATTTCAATTCACACCAAAATACTGTTCCTCTGAAGGGAAAATGGAGGAAAGTGATGCGGGGGCATGCATGTTCTATTACGCCCATAAATTACACTCATCTTGTTGGTTTAACAAATGTGGGGTCTCGAAGTCGGTGATATAGTTGAGAAGTGTTAATGGAAGAACGAATACCACGGGATCATAAAGTTCCAGGAACAAGAAGGTTAATTATAAGGATAATAGTTCCCAGTATCTTGATATGTTCAACAAGTGTCCGACACCGATACCGAAATTATTAATTATTTGGAAATGTTTATGGTTCATTGCACTTTGCTGGTGTGTTTTGTTCGCGTCAATAGGAACGCCGTACTAATATACAATAATATAAGAAAATTAAAATAATGCAAATTGGTACTCAAATATGAAGAAACATGATTGCGGCTAAATGTCCTTATGTATCAATTAACATATATGGTCCTCCTACGCCCGTACGCTGACCCAGACTAGGACAAGGGAAAATTCCAATTCAAATAATCTTAATTTTTTGAACAGTCTATATATGCTTGCTATGCATCTAAAATCAAATAATTTAAGTTTTCCACATAGACAACAAATTTTGTTGCTTTGATGTGTACGGTTAATCATGTATAGTCAAGGAAACGCGGGAAAAAGGAAAAGGGAGAGAGCAAATGAAAACAAAGGGTTAGAAGGACATCACTTAATATATTTGGACATCTTATATGATACTAGCTAGACACTTAATGAGAAAGTAAAAAACAAAAATAGATGCATGTATGCTAGGCGTTATGATATGATAGAAAAAGTGAAATAGAGAAAATTAAGAAATGTTAATGAGATGTTTAACAAAATGAAGTGTGTCAAAAAGATCTTTGTTAGTTCTTAGGATTGATAAATTAGAAAAGTGTGCGATCACTTTTTTGTGGGAGCCTAAGGGAGGGATGCATGATCTAGCCGAAAATTTGGCACGCATGTCAGCATGTGACATTATCATAATGCTTTAATCTTGAGCTACAGGTTATTTTGCTAGCTTCTGTCTTAATTTTATTTATTAAATAAATTGGATTAATATTTTTTAAAATATTTATTTTTAAAAAAGTCAAATTTTATGTCATTCATTTTTTTTAAAACCTACCATGCAATTTATTTAGGTAAATATAAATAATATAATAGAAATAGGATGACATTAAATATTAAATTTAATAAAATAATATTTCCAATATTTTTTTTATCAAATATAAATTTTATTGATCAAAATTTAAAATCTAAAGCTTTTATAAGGTAGATTAATGTACAAAGTTTCACACAGTTAATGCCTTACTGTTTCACTTTATTTTAATCTAGCTATGGTATATTACTTAAAATATAAGTAAATATAACTATTTGATTACTTATCTACGGATGCTTAAATTATGTAAAATTTCATATACATGATTCATTGAATTGAACGGATAAAATTTATTTATGGTAAGAAGTTATTAAATTTGTCATTTTACTAAGTTTGACTGTTGACGTTATTTGATTTTTTTCTTTTTACATTATTTAAATAGACAAATTTATTCAAGTTACGTAGTATATATATAGAGGCAATCGTGCTTTGATGTCATTTGATTTTATCTTAAGATAATAATAATTTATTTATTATATTAAAAACTATTATATAAAATCTTGAATTATATATTTTTTTATTTTAAAAATTAAATATATTAACCTACCAAAAAAGCTTAGGACGAATGAAGAGGTAGAATTGTTGGCCTATTTAATTTTTTTTACTACAAAATGGACATTTAAATATACTATCAAGTTAAATAAAATGACCAATGTTAAATCAAAATTTGAAAAAGATAGAATCAGACTCTGAATAAAAGGACATAATAAATAATTAAAACCTTAAATTTAGACTAAAGCTAAATCTATTTAAAAGAAAACCTCATTTAACCTAGTATATATATTTTCCAAGGGCTGCTTCCTATATATGCGTTGCCTATGCAGGTACGTCCATTCTTAATGCTTAATTTAATGAAGTGTGGTGGGATCTAATTATGCGGTTTTAATCTACATAATAATTAATCTGCTTACTGGCTTTTGTTATATAGTATATATACAAGGTTCAATTCAATTAATTTACCTAATTTATGAAGCACTTGCCCAAAAGGGGACCGTAGGATTAAAATTGATTATTTGTTCATTACGGAATGAAATTATGATAACAAAACCCAAGAAAAGAAAGCAGGGGGAAAAGGACATGAGCTTGAATCACTCCTGAGCTGGAATCGTGATAATTTAATTTGTCAAAGTGGCTTGTCTTTTGCATGAAATGTCCCGGGATAGTCCACTCCAAAAGTTAAAAATCTTTTTGATTTCATTCATTGATAGATCATGATCTTTTTGTTCATCTCATCTCGCCTTTGGGTTCAAATTTAGAAAGATGAGAGGGAGATATAGAATAATACATGTGGATAATAATTTCAAAAGTTTTTAAATTTTACTTTTTTGTAAAGAAAGGCACATGAAGTACTTTCCCAAAAGGCAAGTAGTTTTCACATTAATAACTTTTAGAAACTAGTAAAGAGTATGGAATATGAAATACTACTAAAATGAAAATGATTACTTAGAGGTGTGGGATTTTGGGAGATTTGTTAGGAGAGGCATTCCGTGAAAATGGATGGCACTATGTTTGACATTGCATTTAACATGATGCATGGTGGCCCATTGCCAGTGAACAAGGCTTCTCTTTTGAGCACTTTAACAGTGATGGCTTTATGCCTTTCTCTCACTGCCCCATCCCACCCTACAGTGCCCTATAATTTTGAGCCTTCACTTAAAAAAGATCAACAACTTTTTTCCTCCTCATGGAAAACAAACCCTGCCCCTCCTTCCCTTCAATTCAAGTACTTCGTACCACAAAAAGACAAAGAAATATGACTTCAATTAATCAAACTTTTTTTTAATTAACTAATTCTGCTTAACTATATCCTGATTCTCTATTTTTTACTTCGTATCATTGTATATGTTATTTTTCTTTGTTCTCTATTTATCTCTTATTGTCTGTCTAAAGAGTGTATACAGCCAGCCACATGAGTGTCAAAATAAAGGAGCATGAGGCCCATCTCAGAGCTAGAAAGCCGCATTCCGCATTCCCCTCCATATCTATCAACTCTAGTTTCGATTGCCACCTAGACCCTATAAAATAAATACAAATACCATATTCTTTCTCATGACTTGTTATGTCCATTCTTCTTTTTCTTTTGCTCTCTCTTGTTTTGCAATTATGCGTAATTATGTATTGACTCAACCGCCAAAGTAGTATTGTATTGACCATGAGCTTTATGGTCATTTGCTCATGCATCCGGGTAAATTAGTTCGTGAACATGGAACCAAGAAAATCAAATTGGTTTCGAGTACTTAGGTTATTCAAAGGTATATAAGATGTTGTTGTTAAAATTCAAGCCAATTAACTAAGGTTTTCTGTAGTCGCTAAGCTTTTGTGAAAAGTTCTGCTTTGTAAAACGTTGGTTTCCATGATGGGCAAAGCAGAAGAATGAGTGGCAAGGGGCAATCAAAGATCTGCGTCAAAACATATCGTAGGGCTGAGAAATCATCATCATTCATGGCCTCTGCCAAAGGAGGAAGATACCAACGGGAATGGCAATGACTAATGAGTGGAGAATCCAAAAGTGGCTGAGAGGAAGAAAGCGAGTCCTGTCCTCACCATGTTTTGTGTTTCATATGCTACCTTCTTATTCTTTTTACCAAAAATGTTATCTCGTACGTATTCATACATTTTTCCTTAAATACGCACTAAATTTGATTTTCTAAAAACTTCTTATGTTTTTAAATTATTAACTAATATGTATTTTTTAAAATGGTGCTGAGCAACA